CTTAAACATTATTGACTGATCTAGGCAAAGTTTAGTTAGGTACACAAATATGGACTAGAGTGCTATAAAAAGCAATGCTGCTGTTAAAGTCCTAATCTTGGCTTGGATGCAACAACAAAAAAGGAGGGGGTTAAGCGATAAACCCGCTTGAAGATATGAAGATCAAAGAGATTAAGAAAAAGAGGAAAGATCAGAGAAAAATAAAGGCTAAGCTGTAAACAATACACCTGCATGGGAGAACCCAATGCACAAAACAAAGTCATGTGGCCATATCTTTTCTTTGGCACCCCCTAAATTCCAATCATTGTCACATAATGATTGTGGCAGCAGAGACATACCAGGTATATCATTGTCAAAAGGATGAAATCATTTCGCAGAAAAACAAAGTTGTTTTGACTTTTATTACTCTGTAACAAGAAATTAATCAGGTATTTTTCATAGGTACCACCTAGAAGTGTTAACTCAGCACAAGTGAATTTAACTTGACACAGGTAAATTTAAAGTGGCACTAAACTCGGGAGTTAAATCTTAAAAATACATTCCATTACAACTTAACTATTGACAAAAATGTATCTTATTTGTTTATCACTCGGCTGTAGATCCTCAAATCATCTCTGAATTGGTGCTGACACTGTCCTTCCTTCGGGAGGGGGGCTACTTTTGTTCCCCATGGTCCCTCTGTGTGTTGAAAATTAGCCACCGCCAGAGACGTCCCGAGGCTGGGTGTCACCCAGAGCGGATACCGGGTGTGCGATAACGTCATCGCCCATGCGCGGACATCTTTGTGATACCTGCTGGCGGCCATCTTGGTGAAGGACGCCAGCAGAGAGAGGAGGGGACGTTCACCCGGCGGGATAAGGTATGCCGCCGGGTCCATGACCGAGTGCCCGACATTTCAGAGGGGGTAAATAACAGTAATTCACTGGCACACACTTGAAGGGTTTTTAAAGTATTGATATGTTTATTCAATACCCAATGTCACATACTGTCATACGGTGCTAACGTTTCAGGTCCGCACAGGGATCCTTCATCAGAGTGACAGTGACTGTCGCTCTGATGACAGGATCCCTGTGCGGACCTGAAACATTAGCACCGTATGACAGTATGTGACATTGGGTATTGAAAAAACATATCAATACCCTTCAAGTGTGTGCTGGTGAATTACTTTTATTTACTATTAGTGTTTTGCACAGCGCCATCCGCGTGGTCACCTGGGCACCACATATACCTTGTGGTTTTGAGACCGTGGCAGCGCGAATGGGATTTGGACTTTGATTTCAGAGTGGGTGCACTAAAATGACCTGTCAGTCATTTTGGTGTCACCCCTCCAATGGTGTCACCCGTGTGAGGGCCGCACGCCCTGCACCCTCCTTGTGACGCCGCTGGCCACCGCTCCAAGCTCACTACTGTGATGGACTACAATCTCAATGCTAATTTGTAAAAAAAAAAACATGGGATTGTATGCATTTTTAAGATTTAACTCTTGGGTTTAGTATTCACTTTATCTTGACACTAGTGAATTTAAAATGTATCTTTACCCAGAACATTTTTTATTGTTGTTGTTGTTGTTGTGAATAGAGAAGGGTAGGGTTAGAACTTTCGTCAAGTGTTTATGGCTTTCTGCGTACCATTGTTACTAGGACATCAAGTGATGGGAAATTAAAAATGTTTTGACTGTCAGTGGAACAGGAATAATGGTGAGGTCTTCTAATCGGTATACTTGCACAAGTGACAGCTGTCTAAGAGGGAATTACTCCTCACTTTGCTGCAATAGAATTTTATTGAAAGCGTACAATAAAAATGATCGACTACAAAGAATTAGACACTATGGCCATTATTTCACATTGCATCTGTAAAATGTAATGAAAGTAGTTATTGAGGTGAAACGATAAAGAAGCACATCATATGTGACTCTACCTTCTGAATATGGAAACATTGGGATGCATTTATTTAAAAAAAAAATTGCAGAGCCTTTGTCCTGCAAAACTACATGTACATTTGTTCTGTGCAAATGGGGCAAAAATGAATGTGCTTGGTGCATTTTCTTTCCAGGTTGAATCTAATTAATTCATAAGAGTACAGCAAATCAGGAAAATACCACATTATGGCCACTAGGTGGAGATGAAGATCATAGCAACTGAGTGTTTTTTTCCCCTATGATCCTCTGCTCCATCTAGTGGCCACAATGTGGTATTTTCCTGATTTGCCTAAATGAATGAACTACATTCGACCTTGAAAGAAAATATACCAATAGCATTTGTTTTTCTCCATGCGCAAAGAACAAATGTACATGGACTTTCACAGGATGAATGCCTCTGCCAATTTTGTATAAATATAACCCATAGTGTCCTTAAGCTACAGAAGAACAAGTGAAGAGACAGGGAAAAGAAGAAAGGGAAAAATAAAAAGGGAAAGCGGTGACACCGCAAAGGTTAAAGCAGAACTCAGGAGAATGGTTTCTTAACCCTTGCAGTGGTGCTACCCCCGCACTGCAAAGGTTAACTACGTGTTTGTGTTTAGTGCTGAAAATAAAAAAAGTTATACTCACCCAATCCTCGGAGTCGGCTTGCTTTTAGACGGGAACCTCCAGCGTCTCTCCCCTTCTGCTGCAGCGCTCTAAGGATCCTTGAGTCATCACATTCTATACAGTGTATTGGACGTGAGGACGCAGAAAGACATACCATCGCTGCAGAAGAGGAGGAGAAAGGCAGGAGGGAGACACAAATGAGCACTTAACCCTTGCAGTGCGGGAGTAGCCCCACTGCAAGGGTTAATAATATTTTTTTTTTTGCAGACAGGAAGTTTAACCCTTTCTTGCTCTATGCAAATCTAGTTTTGGCTAACAATACACTTTGATGTGGCATATAAGATAGAACAGCGCTTTTAATATTCAGCAGCAATTGTGTTGGATTCAGGGAGAGATCTATGGCCAATCACTGCTTGAATTTAGCCGTGTCCTACTGGCGGGAGGGGGCATGGTGATGCGTTTAAGTCAATGGCACCACAGCCACGTCCCCTGCTGGCAGTGCGATTGCTCGCACTGGAACGTGTGGCACATCAGTGCCTGCGTTCCGGTCCAGTGCGGTCTGAAAAAATAGTGCATGCAGTATTTTTTCAGATTGCACTGGACCATAACGCAAGCACTAATGTGCCACATGTTCCGGTGCGGGCGATCGCCCCCCTAAACGCAGGAAGCTGGCCTGGGATGTGCTCCAGCAGCGAATCGTGCTGAGACGCACCGGAGCTGGTGTGAACTGGCCCTCAAAGATGATTTGAGGACCTACAGCCGAGTCATACACAAATAAGATACATTTTTGTTAATAGTTAGGGTACTTGAATGCATTTTTATTATTTAACTCCAGAGTTTAGTGCCACTTTAACCAAAATGTTGGTTTTAGGTGGCCCCCTGCCCTTTAATACAGCTACTCCTCACTTAAGGTTACTACCTGTTTAACAACCGCTCGGACTTACAACCAGAACAAGAACTTGGGTATGTATAGTAAACCTAGTAACTGACTGTTGGGACTTAACGACCAATTCTGTGAAGGTCAGTATTGTACACCGTATATTAGAACCCATTCACACTGAGCTACAACAAAATAAGAGCATATTTGAGCTGAGCGACATTGAGCTACAGTGCACATTCTGACGCGCTACGCATCGCTTCTTTTGGCATTTTACCACAGAGACTTTGTAGATGCTACATTGGGCTGTACCAAATATAATGCAGTCTTTGATGTGACATAATTCCTTTTCCTGCTTCTGTGGAGAGTGTAATTCGGGGCAAAAGTGACACTTGTGCAGCGGGACATCACGCTACAATGTTGTGGGGGAAAAAAGCCGCTAATGAGCGACATCTAGCTACACCATTGAAGTCTATTGGGGCCAAGAAGTGCATAATCAGCCAAAAATTAGCTCACGTTCGAGCTGCAAGCTTCAGCTACAAGCGACATTGAGCTTCAAGATGTGAACGTCTCCATTGGAAATGCATTGGAAGCGCTACATTGAGCTTCATGTTTGAGCAATTTTTGAGCATAAAACGCGTTACCAAACACTCAGTGTGAATGGGGACTTGGAGCTGATTTCCTCTATTCCTCGCTTAGCGACCAATTCGCTCAATGACCTAGTCGTAGGAACTGAACTCGGTCGTTAAGTGGGGTGTATCTGTCAATATATCACTCATATCCAAAAAAAAAATTGTTGCACATTTGTTGCAAAACCAACAACTAATGCAAAGAATATGTGATGGTGAATAATCGTCAGGATACAGGATTTCTATATCATTTCTTCATTTTTACTGCTTAGCTAGCCGGACCTCAGTGAGGTCTTTGTCTGGAGGGTGAAGTGAGCTTTCAATGTCTTTCTTAGCTGTTTGTTGTCTTGGTGGGTGATGGTCTGTTGTCTTCTTTGTCTCTTCCTCTCAGTGGTCATTGGCTGGTGTATTCAGAGTCAGGTTTCCTTCTAAGCAAACAAAATCATTCAGGTTTGGCAGCTATTCACGTATCCTGCGAAGTTTACCCAAATACAGTATCTGTTCAGCCATTGTGGTACAAATTATATTGAACATTATAGAAATGTTCTTTTTTTTTTAACAATGGAGTCTCCTTTGTGTTGTTGAAGTATCTGAGTTATGGCAATGGGAGACCAGGAGCATTTCAGCTCTTGGCAGGACAATAAATAAATGGTAGTGTTGTAATAAATCCTTCCAGCTTCAGCATTTCTAATAAGCACTTTGGGGTATAGAAGCAGCGATGGAATGTGGCTTCGTCCTGGCTGGTTGTATGGCGCACACAGAATGTGTCATTGTCCGGTTGGGGTACTATGGACTTGGGTGATATGTGTCATTCTCCTCTCCTCCGCTCTCACTTTATCTCGCTCTTCGCTTACTTATATGTATTTGTTCTATCGCTTCTCTTTATCTACTCAAATGCTGATTGGTTCATTTCTGTCTCTAGCCCCTGCGTCAGCCAATGGGCTGATCCCACTGTTTTTCTCAGAAGCTCCGCAATATAAAGGACCTGAATAAAGAAATGAGAAAACAAGTCGGCCGGGCCCGAGAAGGAAGAGGAGAGGCTGCGGCACCGGGACCGATCCGGGCCAAAGAAACATAAGATCAAGCAGCGGCCCCGGGCTCCCCAACCGGCACGGCTGACAAGATAAAGAACCGGGCTGTCCAAATCTCCGGCTGACGTTCAGTGTCATCATCAGGAGCTGCCTGTGTGAGCCGGTGAGTGATGAACAGTCATGTCCCGTACGGGAAGGGGCCAGTACGCTGTGATGATGGTGACAACCCTGGGCTTACATTCAGAGGGAGGTGGTCATTGTTCTATAATATATATATATATATTCATAGAGTGTCTGGAGTGACAGTGTACGGGCTGGCACTGCTTATACCAGAGCTGGGCTTATGTGCACTTATGTGAAGTTGTATTTGATGATGTGGGGGGGGGGGGATCGGTTGGCCGAGCATTGCATAGCATAACACTGCAGCTGTGAGTCCCCATCTATACTGTCACCCTGTCATAGCTCTATACGGACCATTGTCATATAGACTAAAAACTGTTTCCCATTGACCGTGATCACCGCCAGGTACTGCGCTGATCACAGTCATCGGTCCTTGTTATCTGCCCCGGGATGGTCGCACGGAGGGCAGGGTGCCCGCATTGTTATGGTTGGGAAGTAAAGCAGTTACTCATAGCAACTAGAATAAAAAAATGACAGTGTTTGGTTATCAGTCCACCTGTTTGATCGGAATACTATGGGTGATCGGTGCACTTGCTGTCAATCAGAAGGTATCGCTGCCTCCGATAGAAAGCAGTCAGGTGTTCATTGATGTGGCTTTGTTATTAGTTACGGTGCTGGTTGTTATGGGATACAATGCTGGTTGTTATGGGATACAGCGCACCATTGCTCTTTGTACGTCCTGTAGTTCACCCCCTCACCTCCGGACTGTCCAGGAATGTGTTATCCCCCATCATAGGGTGACATGGCCTCTCTCCTCACCTTCATAAACACCTCTTTATCAGCCAACATCCATTCCTTCAGCTTCCCATCCTCTTCCTCATCCTGTGTCCCGGCACCCTGTCATTGTGTCACCGGGATAATGTATGAGAGCTGTGTGGCTTCCATGTTTTAGATGACACAGCTAATTTGTTGCTAATGGCAACAGCTGACTTCCGCTTCATATTCCTATACCCCCTTCACCCTCTTCTCTCAGTTCCAGTATCATATCCCGGAGCGCTTCTTCTGTAACCCCAGACAGCCCCCTTACACCTACAGGACTGCTCTTATCCCCCTGGTGACATTTCCTCCGTGACTCCCTCACACACACATACACCGCCGTCTTCCATTTCCCCCCCTTCTTCTCCTTCCTCCCACCCTCGCGCTTTCCCGGCTCTCTTCTCGTGCACTTCAGCCGCAGAGCCGCAGCCTCGCGCCTGCCGGTTCAAACCGGCTGCTCTGACACCTGTCTCCTCCGCGTGCTTTGCTGCTGCTCGGCGACCAATCACGGGCCGTGCACGAGTATCGACCGGCCAATCCGACTCCTAGGGGGGCGGACACTCCACCTCTGGAGCGCGCTTATTTGTTTGTTTCACCATAGTTGAGGCGGTGTGAGCCGGTCGGACGGGAGCGGGAGGGGGGATGATGTTGTTGTGCGGTAGCGGCGTATTAGGGGATGCGGCGATGTCCCAGATTAGCCCCCACCGTTTCAGAATAATTCTTTATTCCTGAACGAGTGCAAACAGAGGAAATCCGAACACAACCAATAAACAGATATATACAAGTCAAGAATAATAAAGTCGTTTTTAATTGCTTTAAAGTGAGACCGGCCATTTGCAGTAATAGCAGCAATCTCCTCAGCCATAGACCATATGAGATCATGTATGCCAATGGTCTGCTAATGTGTCCCATAGGGAAGATCCTGTATACATGCAATTATTAGCTTTGGAAACAAGAAACGTTCTCCATTTCTTCCTGACAAAGAACTAGAACAATGATCTCCCTTCAATATGGATTTAGGGCTCGTTCACAGCATAGCGTTGTGATAAATGCATGGGATCTATTGGTTTAACGCACGCTATCCCATAGCACACTACCTTCCGACAGGCGTGCAGTGCAACGCAATACCGTGCATGACGGTGCAGTTAAAAAATGAATGCACTACTACTTTATTTCACCGCAAAGTATTGCAGTACCACAGATTGCGCTGTGCTGCAACGCACGCCCGCCCGGAGGTTATTGTAGTGCACCTAGCGTGTGGTGCAGTGCAGCTGTGATTCTCAATCGGGGTTCCTCCAGTGGTTGTTATGGGGCTCCTTGAGCTGATTGACTTCCCATTTAAAGTGGAACTAAACTGAAGTTAGATGTTAAAAATAGTGGTGGCTACTTTACAACACACACAAGGACCATGGGGAACAAAAGTAGCCCCCCTCCAGAAGGAAGGACAGTGTCAGCACCAATTCAGAGATGATTTGAGGATCTACAGCTGAGTGATACACAAATAAGATACATTTTCGTTAATAGTTGAGGTCCTTGAATGTATTTTTATTATTTAACTCCTGAGTTTAGTGTCACTTAAAGGAGAACTATGAGGTGAGTGCTTTTCACTCACCTCATAGTTCTAGCCGACCTGTGACAATGAGACGATAACAGGTCGGCTAGAACTATGAGGTGAGTGAAAAGCACTCACCTCATAGTTCTCCTTTAACATGGGGGTCGCATGTTGCTACCCAAAGAGTCTGCGCTGGCGGATCGGGGAGGTGATCGAACACATACCGGCGTTCGCTCACCTCTCGATCCTGTCACAGCCCTCTGCCGTGACAGGGTAGGGGCTGAATTCCCCCCTCCCCGATCTGCCAGCGCTGACTCTTTGGGTAGCAACATGCGACTAGCTGAACAGAACAGCTAGAGACAAAAATGATTAGACTCCTTGTAATTAGGCGTAAGCCATTCATACAGAGACTGCTGCTTGTCGCACTTCTTTGATGTTGTTTTGAAGGTGCTCAGCTCCTCAGGTTTTTATTGCATACCTAGGTGTTGCCATATACTAGTTGTTTTTTCTCCCCCCATCCGTGGGGCTTAATGAGAAAAAAAACATTCCCCCATTCACGTTGGGAATCTCCCCTGCTGGGCTATCGTATTCTGACAAACAACACCTGCCGATGTCAGAATACACTAACATAATTGGCTGCAGTCACCATTCAGCCGACAATTTTTGACCTGGTTTCTTCGACAAAGTCAACTGAAAAATCGACTTTTGTCCAACAGAGTGATGCCAGCAGGGCCACCCACAGCTCCAATTCCTGCTAATTTGGCCAAAATTCAAGCAGTGCATGGCCAGCTTTTTAATGCAGTTAGATATCTCTGAAAGCATCAGGATTAAATATATCCCTGGGCAAAACTTTATATTTCGTTTTGGATAGATCAGGTAAGGGTTAGACCATTTGCCAAGTTTTTATTGCTGTCGGTATCCCCATTGGGGAGATTCACCCTTCTTTTTGTACTGATGACTATTGTTAATGAGAAAGAAACTGAAAGGAAATCCAAAATTGTAGAGCTGTCACCAGAATAACAGATAAGGGAGAACCTTCCAATGGGGACATCTGTCTAAGATGGGGAATTGTCCTCACTTCCTGGGCAATTTCCTCTAACTTCCTGTTGCATCTCTGGGATAGGTAGTGAACGGTATTTACCCCAATTGTTGACAGTTAGAGAAAAAAAAACCCTGGCGTGAATGTTAACCCTTCCCTACTCTATAAAACATAGTTCCAGTTCCAGCATTGGAAGGCATGGCTGATATGTCTCAAGCTTTCTAGCAAAATCGAATTTTGGTAGAAAACTTTGTTTGTTTGTTTTTTAGCACCTTCAATTTTCTAACGGTAAGTGGGGGCCAGTCAATTGATGTCTATTGAACACAAAAAATAGGTGTGCTGGTGACATTTATCATATATCTGAAGATGTAACCCATGGTTACTATAGCACCCTCCTTTATACATAGGGGTTCCCGGTAAGGAGTGCAGCAGTTCCTCTCCAAGATTCCTTTTCAATTGAAGGCGCAGGATGGAAAACAATTCTTGTTTCTGGAATGAATGAATGAAATTCTAAGGCCCCCTTCACACTAGGGCATAGCAGGAACCTATACTCAACGTCCACCCCCGCCGTCTCCCAGACGATCTGTGATGTGTCCCCAAAGTTCCGGGTTGAGAGGAGGCCACTGAAGGCAGGGCAGTGATAGACTGCTGCACCTGCCTGTCAACATACTGAGCGGAGGGAGGAGATGGGAAAAGGGTTGTGGCTCAATGGATGCACACAGCACGGTTCAATGCCCGGCCGGGAGCGCGCACACATGCGTCTCCTTTGCAGCCTGCTAGGCAAAGTAGATACCCGTAGATGGGAGGGGGCCGCGGTACATCCTTTGATAAATTAAATTAAATGGGCAGTATTAAAAAAAAAGCTACACCATTAAAAATGGCTCTCTTGTGGAGAATTTTTTGACAAAAAACATGAGGGTTTAATATGACTTTAAGTTAGGAAATAGTACCGACCCAAAATACTAGTGCTGCTAATATTTCTATTATAGCTCCAATGAACCTAACAGATTTGGTTACATAAATATCTGAGACTGCTGCACTTTTGACCCAGTCAGCCAATGGTACATGGTGACTTACATGTTACCTTGTTAAAGGGTAAATCCACTCAGATTTGGGAAGAATATAAGAAGCCATGTTTAATAAAACCAAAAGTAGTAGATTGCTACTGTGGCAGCTTTTGTTTTACTGTTAAAAAGAGACTACCATTCATGAATTAGAGGTTCAAACCAATTCATGACCAAGACCATCCCTGCAAGTATAGAGAGCTGCCCGTTCAGGACTAGTAGACGCCTTAGCTGCATTCAGAAAATTCTGGAGTTCTTATAACTTTCTCATTTACACAGCCACAAGGCTTCCTTCCACTCATTGTCATTCCCAGTGGAAGCTCTTATAGGCCCGCATGTAGTTTTTCTTCACAACTGTTGGATTCCTGTGAGATTTCTTAGAAAGTCCAGGTGCTAGTATGTTTAGTCAAAGCACTGAAGTGTTTGTCACCTTGTAACTATGTTTTTACAGCAATAAACCAAGCTCAGAAAAGGAAACAATTGATCCCAGCAAATAATGACTGTGCCTTATCTTGATCCACGCTGTTTGTTGGTTCTTTAAGGAAGCTGTTCAGTTACCTTTTTGATTAGTTTCCCTCCTACAATCTCGAATCTTTACCAAGGAATTAAATCCATTAGATCTTTGCTCCTCTTAACATGCAGATGATAAGACTGAACCTAGTGACTTCTTTCCTATCAGCATAAATGCTTTCCTATCAGTTTTGTGCAAAACTCCTAACGTGAACCTGCACCTTTACTAAAGAGTTTTTATTGCTGCCTGTGCCTTCCTGACCTGCTGACGCTTGTTCTCCTCACGTCTGGTCTCATTGCCCAAAAGGCAGAAAGTGGACATCTCCACTGTGCGGTAATACACAATTATAAAGACTCTTCAAACCCTTCTCCATTCAGTCCAAAACTTAAAAAATTGTGATTGGAGTTTGGTCGTGAAGCAGTGGTGGGCACTTTGAGGTCCTCAGATATTTTCCTGACTCCCTATAAGGGCCATAAAAAAGAAAAGCAAATCACGTTACCAGGTTTATTCTGTAATTCTTAACCTTATTTTGATCACATTTAGATTACCTGAATAATTCCACTATTCATATTCCTACCCCAGCATTTCTCACACTAGGCCCCTCACATTAGAAGCTCGCTGTGGCACATCAGGGGCTGCAGCGTGGCAGAGGGCAGGAGGCAGAGCAGGCCTGAATGGAGACAAATGTCCATCTTTTTCTGAATGGATCCCACCATGGATTAGCATCATTCATTTCCACAGTGCTGGTGGCTGGCCTACTTACACCATGGAAATACATGTCACTGTGCAAACATTTTGATAAACCCTTGAGGAAGCTAAAACATAGTCTGGATTTAAAAAATGCTGTCTTACACAGTGTTAAGCTGTAAATACAGTTAAAGTGGACCTACACTTTGGCTTTACTAGGGGAGGTACTAGGTTCCCCTCCCACAAGCACTATAAAGGAACTATTTTCCATCCTCGCTTCCTGCCCACAGAGCTAGGCATGCTCCTCCACATGTCACATCTCTCAATCTGGCGATTGTCCGCTCATGTACTGAGCACTGAATTGTGGGATGTTGGGAGTGTTTTTTTAAATGCCCGGAAGTACTAAGTAGATCCAGGTGCCATTGGAATGTAGGTAACTACAGTCACCTTATGATGCCTTCTTTGCACAAAACCTGCTTTTTTTCCTAGTGTGGGCAAAGAACCAATTCACATTAAGGCTAACTTAGGTACCTTTTATCATGATGTCCCTTTATTGTTCTCAACAATGTTAACCTAAAATAAATGAAAATGGCATCCTAAAGGCATTGTTGCAAGCAGACAATTTGATGGGGTTGATTTACTGAAGGCAAATAGGCTGTTCACTTTGCACGGGAGTTTGCATGTTGCAGGGATATTGTCCCTTAGCTTACTGAAGCTCTACTGACTTCCATCATTCATTCATGTGCAAGCAAAAAATGCTGTTTTTTCTATGTGATTGGATATTCTTTGCAAAGTGACATTTCACCACATTCACTAAGCTAAGGTAAACATTTGTTGCAAAGTGAACAACTTATTTGGTTTTAGTAAATCAAGCCCAATGTCTCGTATGCAGATCTAGAATTGGTTTGTGCAGCCCATTAACGGAGCCTGCAGCAAAGGAGATGGCCGATTGTTACCTGAGATACAAGGCAGGGATAGCAGTGCTCCAATCTTTCAGCTGCAATTCCAGAGTGGCCCCAGCTTCCTTCTAATTCTAGAATCTAAACAATCCCTCCAGATCTGAAACTGCTATGGATCAGCTCTGCATTACTACACCTCTCTGCTAAAGTACAAAAGAAAATAAATTACTTTTTGTGACAGTTCTCTGCTTCAGTAATTTTTATCAATGTTTCAACAGCAACAAATCATCCATTCCAGTGTTACACATAGATCTCAACAGCAGTTTTGGGTGCATACATCATTACTAGTACAGAACAATTCATGAGCTCTGACATAAGGATGTAATAGAATTTATAGAGCTTCCAGGGGATTGCTTATTATTTATTGGGTACAACAAGTACTTGTGACATTAATATCTTAAAGCTGAACTCTGGGCACAAAACATTTATTTAAATGTATTCCTTCTTTGCCACAAAGGATATTAATCTACCTTGTGTGCATTAAATGCCTGTACATGTTACCTTGTAAAAGTAGCGATATCATCATTGCTCTGCTGTATACAGCCTGTGCAGAGAGCAGAGCTGTGGGAGGGACCCAGCATGCCCCACCCACTACAGGCTGCAGGAGAGGCGGAGACGAGACCAATCACCCTGTGCAAGGAGAGCAGCAGTGACCCGTCTTGATAGGAGGAAGCTCACGCACAGAGGGAAAGTTTTATACTGGATTACTGCACGGATGTGGGAGATATACACAAAGCACACCAAGATTCAAGTAACAATACACATGACTCTTGTATTTAGACAATACTTGGGGATTTCAGCTTTAGGAGATATATTTGCCCCCTGTTATTTTATTGTGGGGCTAAACAGGAATTTTGATAAAATGGACTAAGATGAAGAAAACTCTATCTGCAATACAAAGTATACTAATGTAGCTGGACTTCACTTATTTGACAATGTGAAAAAGAAATGAAAATGATATTGCCTGTAGAAAACTGGAAAGGAAAACGTATATAAAAGGAAAGAACAATTATATAAAAGGAAAGTACAATTTTATATTTATACATATATGGAGGCGCTGTAGAAGGATCCAGCCCATCTGGGAAGTAATGCTACATTTCTGTAAAACTCAGCATGGCATTACTCTTCCAGCAGATATGTTGTTAGTGTTACCTTGAGTGTGCTTTGTAAATTTGTGCCTAGACTCAGAAAGAATGCATGATACATTTTGGAAATCATTTAGGATACCAGAATTGTCAGTCTGGTTAAATCAAACTTATACTCACTTGGAAGTGAACGATCGTTCCATTACAAAAGAAGTCTATCTGTTCACCATTTAGCCAGGCAGCTATGTTTTTGTTTTAACAGGTAAAGTTTTATTGTTGTGTAGACACATAACAAAAAACAAACGAGACAAGAAAATAAAATCAACAAATCACAAATTACAGTGAATACAAAAAAGTAACAGAACATAATGAAAACAGAAAGCAAAATAAAGCATGGATCTTAGGTACCATAGGTAAAAAGATACAGTTGGACCCACTGAGGGCCAATCTAGGATACATAACCCCAGGGGGGGGGAGAGAGAGAGTTGGCCAGGCAGCTATGTTAAGCCTTCATTCCCACCTATATTTTAGGTACAATTTGGTATTCCTGTGATTTCCTGCAGCAGGACTCCTTAAACTGCCGTTTACCAGAAGCAGCTGTCACCCATTCAAGTTTATGATCAGGTGACAGCCGCTGCATTTGAACGCCGGCACACCGCATGTAATCGTATGTGATACAATTACATGCGGTTAAGAACCAATCACTATCCCTGGACATACAATGTGTAAATAGCAGATTTGGGATTCCTGCTGCAAGAAAATCACAAGTTCCTGACTCAGAAATCCCTAATCACACCTAAAATATGGGTGTGAATGGAGCCTAGTTGTAGATACATTAAAGCAGTGGTTCTCAGCCTGTGTAACCTCGGGACCCACATTTGTCCTTGGCAATTAAGTGGCGACCCAATGGAACGCACAGCATTAGGGTACCACGCGTCCTGGTGTGGGCGTACAAACTGTGGGTGGGAGGTGCGTTTGGCCTATCATTCAAATGACGTGTCCTCAAAAACACTGACATACATACATACACAGACACAATCTCACACACTCACAGATATTCTCACACACACATACACACTCCCCAAAAATGTTTTCTGTTTTTTAAGGTCCACCCAGTCTTCCTACCTTACGAGAACTGAAGTGGAACCTCAGCATGGGGTCCGGTGTAGGCTGCTGTGCTGTGACGGAGCTCCATCCATATGTGCATTGCTTGTACAGCTCCCTTGCGTGCCCTGTAGAGGTGCCAGGCGCCAGAATGTGATGTCACTCTGGACCAGGCACCACTACAGGACACGTGAGGGAGCTGTAAGCAATGCACCTATGCATGGAGCGCCCTCGTGGCTACCTCAAGCTGACACTCAGTGCTGGGCAGCAAATTTTAAATGGCTGCTTGGCGCGAGAACTGACAGTACTGCACTAGGGGTAGGCAGAGGAGTCTCTCACCTAGAAAAGTGAAAGGCATGCGGCGACCCACTGAACACAGGGTCGCGACCCAGTTTTGGGTCATGACTCACCAGTTGAGAACCAACTCATTAAAGTGTATATTGCAGCATACCAGACCTTGGATGTGGTGGCTGCATTAGTTTTCCTTTGTCAGGCTTTTATTCTTTATATTTTCACCTGGAGATCCTGCCAGTAAATACCCTTCCTCTCCAAGGGGGACAACACTCACTTGGCTTACTGTATCTATGAAAGAGCAGCATTGTCACCTTAGGCTGCTCTACTGATTTAGTCAAACTCCTCGCCTCATTTCCATTACCTAGTGGCTGGCTAATTCACAAAAGCTAATAACACTTTGAGTTATCAGTTCTGTGCACCAGAAGATTCTATCAGGATCAACAGGTATTTTTCTGTACTTGCAGAAAACCTTAGCCCAAAAAGAAAACAAATGCAGCCATCACATCTAAGGACCGATGTATATGTACAGGTGAAACTCGAATAATTAGAATATCGTGCAAAAGTAATTGCAGTAATTGCTGCAAAAGGAGCCCAAACCAAGTACTGAGTACATATGGATGCTTGTACTTTTCAGAGGTCCGATATTGTTCTATGTACAATCCTTGTTTTATTGATTGCATGTAATAATCTACTTTTTTGAGGTTGTGGATTTGGGGTTCTTGGGGTGTTCATGAGCTGTAAGCCATAATCATCACAATTATGACAAATCACGGCTTGAATTATCTTGCTTTGCATGTAATGAGTCTATCTCATATATTAGTGTGACCTTTTAAGTTGCGTTAGTGAAATAAATGAACTTTGCACGATATTCTAATTATTCAAGTTTGTATCAGTGTATTACATTTTAGTTCTTGGGTTTAGATATCCTTTAAAACTTTGGAAGATCAATGCAGTTTTTCTTGACACCTAGATAGAGGGGAACATACTTTTTATGGGCTGGACCTTTTATTTGTAAAAATTCTACAAAAATATTCCCATGCAGCGATGTGATTTCAGCAGAGTGACTCACAATAAAGGTATTTCATACATGAATAGCAAGGTGTTGCCTTTTCTGACAGTTATATATATGCTACTTTTCTACTTTGTGTGTGTGCAGATCAGTACAGTCTTATCGCCTGGAGCTTTACGTTCATTCAGATATGAATCCAAGATATGTTGAATGTGAACCTTCAGTATAAGCATTTCTCATTGCCAACAAGTATAACAGCAAACTGAAGCTGCATATTTCTTGACAGGCAGATGTTTCCCTATTATAATGCTGTAGAATGTAATTGGCGATTGTTATTTTTAGAATATGCACAGATCACGTTTATTTATGAATGTCTTGCACATCTTGTTTTGCAGAGTGACAATCACTAAGGGGAAGAAATAAACATGGCACCTACACTGGCTACGGCGCATCGGCGCCGATGGTGGATGGCATGTACTGCAGTGGTCGAGAACCTTTTTTTCTCCGCAGTACTTCTGGGCTGGGGCTCCCTGCTCATTATGCTTAAATCTGAAGGATTCTACTCTTACATGTGCCAATATCCAGGTATGAAATATTCACAACTAGTCACATATATCTGTTATCTTTGAATGCAGTGTTTTTTCATGATGTATGGTAAGTCAGGGGAATGTGTGCCACTAGTGGTAATTAGAGATGAGCTCAGGTCCGGACCAAACCTGATCCGACCCAGAGCTCCTGCGAACCCGGAAAGATCTTCTCCCAAACATGTAGGGAAGCTCCTTCCATACCACCCAATCAGACGCTGGTGGGGCATTCCCTGGCATAAGCAAAGGGGTGGGTGCCGTGACATAATTGACCAAAAATGGTTGCATGCCTTAATTACATTAAGCTAATATGATTATTTTGCAATATACAGTAAATTACATCAACACAAGCATTCTGTTGCTTTGTTTACATGCAGCTGCAGGTCGGGGAATGCCTAGCCCGCAGCTGATTGGATGGAAGTGCCCATGGCACTTACTAGTTTGGAGGAGCTTAGGTTCGTACCAGGTTCAGTCCGATCCTGAGCTCATCCCTAGTGGTAATCACCCTTAGAGTAGATGGTACTAGAACCAACTGCTTTGTGAATGCACTTATACCAGTGGTAACTGCTATTGGCTAGAGAAGATCAGTATTTAAAGCTGGCAAATAGATAATTTACCATTATGGGAGCTGTATGGGAGCTGTTGTACCATCCTTAGGATTTTTATTTCTGTCTATCCTGTCCTGAGATTTACATAGCTTTGCCTCACAGCACAACCCCATCTGGGAGGGTAGGTGACATGATCTTTCTGGTTCTCTAAAAGCTCTGCCAATGTCCTGGCTGTTTAGACTTCTGCATCGTTGATACCTAGTACCATCCTGTATCTCAAAAGACCTCCCCAATTTTCCCTCACTGCCCCCCACTACCACACAATTAGGGTAGTGTTGGGCAAGACCCTACTCTGAAATTCTCTAGAAGCTCTTAATGCTGATCGTAGCCGACATCACTCTTAACTTGGTAAACTACATCTTCACAGCTACCCACATTGTGAAAGCATGAAATACAAGCTTAAGGGAGCATGAAAGACAAGCCTTAGGGAGTTTAAAAACAGGGTTTCACAGATATTTATTTCTTTTAAACTAACTGCCCTGCAGGGCTCTTCTTTTTACCCCGAGACCCCTAACGGGCCCACTGGCCCCCGATCCAAGCTCACTCCATGCTGGACTACAATGTCATGTTTAGTTTACTAGTTTGTAGGGATGCACCGATACCGGTTTTATGGGCCTCGAGTACGAGCACCGATATTTTTTTTTCGGTACTTGCCGACACTGATACCGGAAGTCCATTAAGGAAGCCAGGCGGCGTGTAATGACTCGCCACCTAGCTTCCTGATTAGCTGGAAAGCCAGGCGGCATGTAAAGACTCGCCACCCTGCTTCCCGATTAATCTTTCTGGCCTATCAGGAAGCCGGGGGGTGGGTAATGACTCGCCGTCTGGCTTCCTGATTGGCCAGCTTCCCGACCAATCAGAAAGCTAGGCAGCGAGTCATTACACGCTGCCCGGCTTCCTGATACTGGAAGCTTGGGTATCGAGCTAGGCATCGGAGCATTTGGGCGAGAACGAGTACTCGCCCCAAATGCTCGGTAACGGCACCGATACAGATACTAGTATCGGTGCATCCCTACTAGTTTGTATTGAGATTGGAGTCCATTACAGGAGTGAGTTTGGAGCGGTGACTACTTTACATTACGTGACCATGTGGAACAAAAGTAGCCACCGTCCAGAAGGAAGGACAGTGTCAGCATCAATTCAGAGATGATTTGAGGATCTAAAGCCGAGTTATACACGAATAAGATACATTTTTGTTAATAGTTGGGGTGCTTGAATGTATTTCAAAGATTTAACTTCTGAGTTTAGTGTCACTTTAAAAATGACAGCTGGCACCTACTGTAACTTTTGTGGTTTTCTTTAGTTGTTGTCAATGGAGCTGGCTCTTTAAAAAATCTTTCTGGCTCCTGGATTGTAGAATTCCATATTATTATATGAAATGAGAGAACCCGCCAAGTTGCACAACCCCCGTTGAGATGTTTCGGTATAGTGGGTGTTAGAAGATCAGTGATGCCTGATTTGACAGTTCTGTAATGCACAGATTTCAAGAGAACCTTTCCCCCAGATATGTACACTCGTACATGCATCAGTTCCCTAATGAGATACAATAACAACTAAGCGCTGAGTTGGTCGGGGTCCAAGTTAATTTGTAATGTAATGGTGACTTCTTTGTAAGCACATCTAGTTTAATGGTTATCTCTAGTGTCCGGGCACAGAGCCGTATTCAGATATCACAACTCCATGCTGTACATATAAAATGAAAGGGAACAAAACCTCAGATGTTTCTTTGCAGAAAGCAGTTTCTACTTTGCTGAACAACACTCTGATGTAGTCGTGACATATTTCCTTCAAAGGAGTTGATGTGAAACTCCACTTTTTTCAGAACCGTCAGGGTTGTGAAATAGAGGAGTTGCCTGCCCTTTCTTCCATCCATTATAAGTAACAATAATGGACCTCGTCTCACTTTTTTCTGTTGCCTCAGCAGAGAGCTGCAATTCAATCTGAAAGGATGGCTCTACTCCTTGTATCTAATCTACACAGAGGGGATTTCATGCTTTCGTGCACTATGTCAGCCAAAAGGAAAACGACTTCAATATATTTTTATGTTATATACTAAAAATACAAATATGAAAAATGGATATGAAAGATTCCCCTACCATTTGTTATTGCTGTAGTTCACATTTAAAGTTAAACTCCAGCCCTACCTTCAGTCTTGCACAGATGTACAGGCTCCTCTCCTGTACCTGAAAATGCTGTCTCTGATTTCACTGTGAGCATCTGACAGCGTGCATTAGAAGCTGCATCAAGCTAAATACAGCTTGACACATTTCCAGCCTAGAGGACATCCAGCATCACCTAGCACTTTCCTCTCTGGTGCACCCCTTTCATTCATTGGATTTTAGTTCTTTCAATCATGACGGCTCAGCATCACATGTGGTGGCACCACTGTGTTTCAGACAACTCCTTGCTCCCCGAGTTCCAGCATCCCCCCATGTCCCGTGCCTCTCAGTATCCCCGGCACCCTCTACAGTTTTCTGGCTGATTTGAGCCACAATTGTCTAGAGATTGGCAGCAAACTATCACAAAATAAGAAAATATATTATAATATATCAATTCTGAGGCTTGCTGCTGCCCCTTTAAGCCTCCTGCCCTAGACACGGACCCATGAGTGCCAGTGTAGGAAGTTCAGCCCACTGTTCCAAGGTCCTCCTGTAGTCGTTTATACCTCCAGGTATCCTCCAAGCATTCTGCCTAAGTATCAAGGACAAGGATAGGCAACCTTGGCTCTCCTGCTGTGGTGAAATCCCATCATGCCTCTGCCACTGGTAGCCATGCAATGCATTATGGGACGTGTAGTTCCACAACAGCTGGAGTGCAGAGGGTACCTACCTCTGGTCTAGGATTTGAGAGGTCCTTGGATAGAGTACAGCTGAAGCCATAAATGCACAATACAGGAAACTTGGAACTAGACTCATGGGGAACACTAGATTCAGCTAATGATCACCCCCGCCCCATCCAAACACATTTCCATAGAGTTCTTCTTTAGGTGATAATTCCAAGCCTGTATTCTGTATCGGAACTGTTGCCACTCACTGTTGCAGACGCTGCCTGGTTTTAATCTGAGTCATTTGCTTTTGGAGAAGCCAGATGGATATTTTTTGCCTCAAGGGAAATAGTATAAGGCTTAATCTGTCTTTTAGCTTTGCATTGCTCTGTTTACCAAGTCAAGCTTGTATTGGAAACGTACTAATATACAGCAGAACACTTCCCTAGTCTAAACTAGCAATATCCATCCATTGTTATGACCACAATGGAATGTATGAGAGGCACCTGATGTATAATGTTCCAAAACAAAATCATTTATTTAGTATTATAAAACTGTAACCAGAATTCAATTCATTTCTTACATAACAGTTCTTAAGGCTTTTTAATAAACCATTGTCACTTTTAATTAGCAGCTATTGATCATTTATCGCCTAGGGACCCCTTCAGTTATTTTGCCATAGTTATGAAGTGCATTTGTCTGCTGTATTCACTCATGTCTTGCTGGATCAAGCCATCTTCGTTATTCAGGGAATTTTCGTTTTTTTAAGTATGAGATCTAGGTCTCATTAATATTTATTAATAATTTTACAGCCAATGTTACTCCATAGAAGGCATGGTTTCCATACACTGCACTGATGGTAGCGAGAGGGAGTGAAACAGTTGTATGCAGTTTGGAATAAATGGCTCTATAATATAAGGCTATATTTGCACTATTCTTTTCTGTATATTTTGGATGTGCGTTTGGCTGATGGGCTACAAAGCAGTGATTTGCATGGCTCTGCCCACTGTCCTGAAATGTGGAATGATCCTCTTATTTTTGGAATATGTGATGAAATGGGACATAGGAATACCTTCTGTTCTAATAATGTGCACTGGTCCGGTTGAAGACTGGTTTTAGTCCCTTCTCACCATAACCTGTATGGTTATACTGTCTTATTTAATATGAGGAACCAATTGCTATGTCGATGGGTTTTGTAAGACACCCCCAAGCCTTTCCGTCTTGGGAAATAGTCATTCAGCTGGGTTAACATTTTTGAACTTATTGCCTTTGCTTTCACAGCTAAAGGCAGCTCTTGTGGTGTCTGCAAACTCCTTGCTTAATGCAAGTCTATGCTTGCATGGCATTTCCTCATTTGCTTAACATTTTGGAGGCAGACTGTGGCCTCATGATCTATTCTTTGGCTCTCTCCCATATAGCAAAGTGGCAGGGAAAATGCAGGCATCTAAGATGCACATTGTCCCTGTAAGCATGTTATATAAGCATGTAAGCCCCCCTATGTGCAGGATCATGTGTGGGTACAGCACGATAAGAAATGTTTAATGCATTTGCATCCTGTATAGCAATAGAATGTTTTTTGGCCCAAGTGAAAGGCATTTCCAATGGACTTTACTTCCCTAAGAGAAGGTT